CTGCTCGGAGCCGATCGGGGCCCCCCCGGCAGCACTCAGCATCCCTCCTCATTAAACTTTCATCGGCAGCGCTCGGCCAAGGTCTATTTATGAAAATGCGCTGCTCGCAGCGCCGAGAAAACAGCGACGGAGCGCAACAACAAAGGGATGGGCTCTGGGAACGGCCGGGAATCAGGAGAGAGGTGCGGGACGGGCTGCGGGATGCCCTGGGGGGGTCCCGAGGGGTCCCGGGGGGCTCTGGTGGCCACCCCGAGCTGGCCCCGCTCGCCCAGCTGGGCTCCTCCGGCAGCTCCTCCGGGAGCCGCACAATCGCTTCTTTCCTTCCTTTTTATTTATTTTTTAATATTTTTTTTAGTTTGTTTTTCTTTGTGGCGTTTTAGGGTTTTGTTTGTATTTTTTTTGTTTGTTTTCATGGTTTTTGTTCGCTTCTTTGGTTTTATTTTGTTCGACTTCATTTCATTAGTTCATTTTCATTCATTTTACTTCCTCTCGTTTTATTTCACTTTAGCGCTTTTTATTTCACTTTAGCGCTTTTTATTTCACTTTATTTCATTTCATTTCATTTCATTTCATTTCATTTCATTTCATTCTACTTTATTTTTTCTTCTTTTACTTCGGTTTTCCCCTGTAAAAGCCGCCGGGTCCCGTCTGTCGGGTTTCACCACCACGAAGTGCATTTGAATATTTCCCCCCCCCCACAAAATAAAAAGTTACAAAACAAAACAACAGTTAAAAAAAACCCAAAAAAACCCACCCACAAACAAAAACCCAAACAAACAAAAAAACCCCAAACAAAAATAAAGCAAAACCAGCCCAAACGAATAAAACCAACGAAAATAATTCGGTTTTAACCCTTTTTTTTCCTCGCGTGTCGCCGGGACGGAGCGGACCCGCAGGTTCTGATCCTCCAGGAACTCCCGGCTCGACTTTTCCAGGCTGGAAAATCTGCTCGGGAGTCCCGGGAAAAGCTCCCCGGAGCCGCAGTAACTGCAGGAGGCAGGAGGGTGAGGTAAAACGTGCATGATTTATTTGAAATGCTGCAGCGTACACGGACACCAAAATTTCATTCAGCACACACACAGCGGAACGAAATCTCCTTTAATTCCGAAAAAAAAAATAAAATTAAATTTAAAAAAAAAAATTAAAAAATAAAATTTAAAAAGAAAGAAAACAAAAGAAAAGGAGGCAAATTTCTCTATTAAATATGCAAAGGAAAAGGGGGGAAAAGAAGAGTTTTCTTGCCTTCCAAAGTGCAGAGTTCCCCATGCGAGGGGCACCGAGGCTCTGTCCCCGCTGCCGCCGCTCCGCTGAGCCCCAAGGACGTGATTGTCGAAGCCAAGGATTTTATACAGTGAAAACCATACGGAAATCGAACGGTTTGAGTGAAACCAACGCAAAATAAATCTCCATTTCCCCGAACAAACCGCGACTCCAGGGACGGGCCAATTTTTATTATATTTTTTTTTTCTTTTTTTTTTTTTTTGATATTTTTCTCCTTTTTTTTTTTAATCCTTTTTTTAATTTTTTTTTTTTTTTTAAATTTAGCCGATGAGGTAGAAACAGAAATGGTACTGCAAAAACGCGATGGGTTTGCTGGGGGCGGGCAGGGGAGAGAACAAAACCATGCAGGTGCGTGTGTGTGCGGGGGACCCTGGCGGCGGGGAGCGCCCCGGCTTTACAGCTCGTTTCTTTTCTCATTTCTTTTCCTTTTTTTCTGTTTAATTGGTTGTTTTTTAAAAGAAGAGGAGCGGACACGGAGGAGCGAGAGGAGCTCCCCGAGCCGGGAGGGGCAGTGACAAAGACCCACCGGGCTCTGGCTGCTGCTGCTGCCCCGACTCCGGGCACCCCCAAACTTCCCCCTTGGCCTTTTCGTTTGGTCTTTTTGCCTTTTTCTCCATCTTTTTAGATTTTTTTTTCTTTTTTTTTTCTTTTTTTTTCTCCAGTTTTATCTACAAAAGCAGTCTGTAGCAGTCAGAACAGCGGGGCCACTTCGCCCAGGGGTGAGGAGCAGGCACCAAACTGTTCACTTTGCTTTGGGCGCGTTTCCCTTTATTTTAAGGTTTACTTTTCTTTCTTTTTTTTTTTTTTCCTCTTTTTTTGTTTTTTTTTTTGTTTAGTTTGGTTGGGTGTTTTTTTCCTCCAATTTTTTTAACCCCCAAAAAGAAAAACCCCAAAAAGAAGAAGCCGACAACCCCAAGCCCCTTTTGGGAAGGACCAGGGAGGGACAGTCGGGAGGGCAGAACCCTCCCCAAGCCCCTTTTCTCAGTAGGTGGCAGAAAATTTCATCCTTTTCTGCTTCTGTCTCTGATTGCAAAACCAGACCCGCACCACGTTCTTCTTCAAGTCTAACTTCTCGGCGATGGCGGCGATCTTCTCGGAGGAGGGCCGGGGCTGGACGGCGAAGTAGGCCTCGAGCGAGCGCTTCTCGGGGGCGGCGATGGACGTGCGCTTGCGCTTCTTGTCCCCCCCCGTGTAGATCTCGGGTTTGGTCATTTTCTCCCTCTGCGCCCTCTCGGCCTCCTCCAGCCACGCTTCCAGGATGGGCTTGAGGGCCACCATGTTATTGTGGGACAGGGTGAGCGACTCGAACCTGCAGATGGTGCTTTGGCTGAGGCAGCCCACGCCGGGGATCTTCAGGTTGGCCAGCGCCGAGCCCACGTCGGCCTGGGTGACCCCCAGCTTGATCCTCCTCTGCTTGAAGCGCTCGGCGAAGGACTCGAGCTCCCGTGGGTCCGTCTCCGTCTCGGGGCCGGAGATGACGGCGTGGGAAGCGAGGCCGTGAGGGTGGGACACGTTCATGGGCTGGGAGTGGTGGGCCATGTGGTTGATGTGGGACATGTGGGAGTGCGGGTGCGAAGGCGTGGAGCCCACGTCGGGGCCCGGCACCCCTCCGAGGGGCAGCGCCGAGTTGAGGTGCTCCAGCAGCTCCCCGTCCAGGCCCTGCGAGG